CTGCTGAACAATGCTATTGCCCAGCATCCAGGTACGGAGAGCCTGCGGGGCACGCGTGTGAAATGGGGGTGATGCGACTTCAAGCTGCATGTGTGAAATGCGCAGTATGCTGGGGAATGTATTTTTTTTTTCATTTACTACGAGTCACACATATGTTTTGATTTTGATATCCGAGTCCTGGAGTTACTTCAAAGCGCAAGGCTCATGGCTTTGTGTCAGGTGAAGCTGACTTTGTTTCAAGCCATTGCAGGTTGTCAGGGCCCAGGCTTTGAGGAGATGTAAGGGGTGCAGGCAGAGCATCCGATTCTGATGGGGTACCAAAATGCCTGCAAGACTCATATTTTGTGAATGGAAGGGGGTAGTATGTGAAAGGGCAGGGTGCCTGGCTTGCTTTCATCTGGGAACTCAGACCGGCTGACGTCCAGAGCAAACTGCCCTGGGCTGTTGCGTGACCCACTTTCCTTCATCACCACACCCAATTATTGAGGTTTCTTGTGATTCTTGCTCCATGCTGCTTGCTCACCTTTGCTTTTCTAGTAGTCTTTATTCCTTGCCTTTTCCCTGGTGTTTGCATCCTCATCATCAACATGAGACGAGTTAGAGCCATGGGTACTCTTCTGTTTTGTTTGTTTTGTTGTTGCGGCTGTTGTTGATGACTTGCTCTGTGGACCTACATCTGGATTCTCTGCTTTGCTGTGAAAAGGAATAAAGTATATCCTCATGCGCTGGGTTGTAAGACAAGTTTGAGTTTTCCTACTAACACATGCTGTAGTGTTGTATGAGAGAAATGTTGCAACTGGAAAGGGAAAATGGTGTTGTGGGCTGTTTGTTTGGTGTTTTTTCTTGAGCTTTGACTCTAGGGTTTTCTAGCACCTCTGAAAGCTTAGGCAGAAGGGGACTGTCAATAAGCCTTGTAAGGAAAATCTTGATGAAGAAAAACTGTTAAAATCCCTGTAAACTGGAGACTTTCAGGTAATACGTTGGAAAGGATGAGACACCAAACCAGAACTTGGAGGAGAAGAGGTGGGATCCCAGAAGGACCTGGTGTTGTAGGGCCATGGGAGCGAAGAGACATCCATTGGTTGGGAATATGGCAGGGGCCAGGTGTGAAACCCCATGTTCTGAGAGCCGGACCTCTGCTGTTTCACCCCTGGCTACGGTAGCTCCTCTGACCCGTTGCTTCCTCCATCCTGCCCAGCTCCTGTGGTCAGGAGGCCATTTTCCCTTGGAGGGAGAAGGAGTGACTGTGGCTGTGTGCAGTGGGCGGGGCGGCAGGGGAGGGCCTGCCGGGTGGCTGGGCTGCTCTTGCAGCTTGCCACAAAGGGAAGGGTTGTCTGGCTGCCCCTACCCCTGGGGCGGGGGGGCAGGCGGGGACGAGGGGCACGCAGATGGGAGCGTGCCTGCTGGGGAGCTGGCGTGTGTTCCTCTGGCTGGGCCGAGAGCTTGCAGGCTTTTGGCGCAGGGGGAAGGGGCTGGGGGAAGGTTGTGTCAAATCCGGATTGGAATAGAGTTGCTGAGTAACAACTTTCCTATGGAGGAGGGCGAGTAGTGGCTTACTGGCCTGTGTTGTGTGTGGCTGTAGGATGCTGTTCAGCCTGGAGAAGAGAAGGCTCCAGGGAGAGCTTCTAGCAGCCTTCCAGTACCTGAAGGGGCTCCAGGAAGGCTGAGGAGGGACTTTTGACAAGGGCAGGGAGTGACAGGACAAGGGGAAATGGCTTTAAACTGGCAGAGGGGAGATTTAGATGAGATATGAGGAAGAAATTGTTTCCTGTGAGGGTGGTGAGACACTGGCCCAGGTTTCCCAGAGAAGCTGTGGCTGCCCCCTCCCTGGAAGTGTTCAAGGCCAGGCTGGATGAGGCTTTGAGCAACCTGGTCTAGTGGAAGGTGTCCCTGCTGATGGCAGGGGGGTTGGAACGAGGTGGTCTTTAAGGTCCCTTCCAACTCAAACCATTCTGTGATTCTGTATAGGTTGGATAGTTGTGGTTTTCTTTCCTGGAGACCCATGGACTGAAATGGTGTCCTACTCAAGTTCTCAGATGTATTCTGTTTTATCTGCTTTAGCTGTGGCCATCTACTCTGTTCTCTTTCCTCTTCTCACTGGGTTATGGCCAACATCTGGTCCCCAAGATCTGAGTGCAACTCTACTTGAAGAAGGAATATTGTAGAAATAGGTGGTGCTGGGGGGGAGGGGGAAAACCATGTGCAGTGGTAACTTGTGAGATTACCTGGTATCTGTTGTGAAAGTAACAGAGTAAACAGTTAAGAACACTTCCATGTTTGTAAGCATGTAGCAAGAAGTAGACAAGTTGAGTGGTGTCGGTGAGCGGTGGGCTGTGCTGTAGTGCACAGGTGGGGTTTGAATGACACTCTTTGCCTCTTCCCCTCCAGAGCCTGAAGAAGAGCCAGAAGAAGAGCTTCTGTCAGAAGCTGAGACACCCAAAATCAAGAAGAAGAAGAAGCCCAAGAAACTAAAGGAACCCAAAGTGCCCAAGCTCAGCAAGCGTCAGAAGAAGGAGGTGAGGAAAAGGACGCCTAACGTCATGCTCTAAAATACGGATATATGGGGTGAGGGTGCTTGCTGTTGTTGTTGGCTTATGGCAGCAATGCTTTGTGTGACACCTCTAGAGCTTGAGGAGAGTGTGGTGTTTAATGCTTATCCAGCTTTTCTCACAGCGGCCTGATCTTCTCTCTCCCTCCCTCCCTCCCCAGCTGGGGGACAGCTCTGGTGAGGGGAACGAGTTTGTGGAGGAAGAAGAGGAGGTGCTGCGCTCTGACAGTGAGGGCAGTGATTACACTCCTGGGAAGAAGAAAAAGAAGAAATTGGGGCCTAAGAAGGAAAAGAAAAACAAAGCCAAGCGCAAGGAGGAGGAGGAAGAAGAGGAGGAAGATGACGACTCAAAGGTGAGAAGCTACCCTGCTGACTGATTGCTTGCTCCTTCCCATGTATCTGATTTTTGGGGATCATTGTGCTCTCCGTTTGTGATGACACATGGAGTTGGGGCTGTTCACTCTCATCTTTCTCCACTGCTTGACTTAGCCATTTTCCTTCCCACCTCACGTTCCTTCCTCTCTTCTGCCTTAAACACACCTAGAATGTGTATTGAATCAAAAGACTTTTCCCACTGATGTTCTGTTGAGGCTGTGTCCTATGGGAGTCATTAGTGGGCAGGGGAGGGGAAAAAAAATCTCCGAGTTCTGACCCATTGAGTCATCTGTAGATGTGTGGAAATTCTGTTCTTTCCTAGAGCAGAACTAGAGCTTTTTTCTCAGAGTTGCTGCGATTCTCTTTGCACAGGAGCCGAAGTCATCTGCTCAGCTTCTGGAAGACTGGGGCATGGAGGATATTGATCATATCTTCACAGAGGAGGATTACCGTACTCTGACCAACTACAAAGCTTTCAGCCAGTTTGTCAGGTGAACTGTAAGCCTGCACTTGGAAGGACTCTGGAGGAAAAAGAGATGGGATAAGGACTAGGTTCCTTGTTTTTGGAACCTCAAGGCACATTAGGGACACTAGCATCCTATCTAGAGCAAAAACTGAAGCAAGAGTAAAATTATTGATCCATGTCTTTTTTGTTATCAGTGATAGAGATGATGCACGTACTTGTTCCCGGTCCCCTTTCTGCCTTACTATACTAAAGTCCATTTCACTTTCCAAGGCCCTGAGCATTTGCATCCTGCACACAGTGTGAAGGATGGGGGTGGAAAGATTCATTGGCTGTTGAGATCAGAGATTAGAAAGGAATGTAGTTTGAGATAGAGGTGCTGATAGGGGTGGCAGCAGGGAGGAATAATGATTGAGATTTCAGGGTCGCTCAGTAACTCTTCCTTCTTTAACTGTACACAGGCCACTTATTGCAGCCAAGAACCCTAAAATAGCAGTGTCGAAGATGATGATGGTACTGGGAGCCAAGTGGAGAGAGTTTAGCACAAACAACCCCTTCAAGGGAAGTTCAGGTGCATCTGTGGCAGCTGCTGCAGCTGCAGCTGTTGCAGTAGTGGAGAGTATGGTGACAAACGTGGATGCTGTCCTGCCGCAGCCCCCTGTAGATGTGCCGCTCAGGAAAGCCAAGACGAAGGAGGGCAAAGGTGAGATGAAGAATCTGTCGGGGTGGCAGAGGGTGGGTGGTGTCAAGGCAGCAGTTATTCTGACTTACAGGCTCCTCTGTTCCCAGGACCCAATGCCCGCCGGAAGCCGAAGGCCAGTCCTCGTATTCCTGATATGAAGAAACCTAAAACAAAGAAGGTGGCACCTTTGAAAATCAAACTGGGGGGATTTGGTTCCAAGCGTAAAAGATCATCAGTAAGTGATGCTCCTTCCCTGACCTGAGGAGGAGGTGACGACATGCTAGAAATGCTGGGATGTGTGTCATGCATGCCTGAGTAGCAGAGCTTTTTTTCTTACCTACCTCAGAGTGAAGATGATGATCTGGATGTGGAGTCAGACTTTGATGATGCCAGCATCAACAGCTACTCTGTTTCAGATGGATCTACGAGCCGTAGTAGCCGCAGTCGCAAAAAACTCAAAGCTGGGAAGAAGAAAAAGAAAGGTACTGATGCTTCCTGTCAGTTGCAGACAGAAGCACAGCTAGGTGCTTAGAAAGGTTAGAGGAGTATCTGTGCAGAATTTGAATATTTAACAGGGTACTTGAGGGAGAATTGTTCATGAAGGAAAAACCTGGTATTATTTTTAATAAGGAAAAGGTTTTCAAGAGTTCCTTCTCACCTTGGCAGAGAAACAGCTCCAGGTCCTGAGTTTTCCTGGCCTCTACTGCACCTTTAATTTCATGGGTGGATGGAGGCACAAAGGGACTTGTTTTACCCTGGTTCCAGCTCTTGCTGTCTGCCCTGTTTAGTGACACAGAGCATGAGTTTTGTATTCTGGATCTCTGTATTACTGTGTAGGCTGTTGGGAGAATATGCTCCCTCGCTGCAGGATGCCTGTACCTGTCGTTTGTACTGTTGTAACTCCTCACCACCCTGTGCAGGTGAGGAGGACTCCACAGTGGCTGTGGATGGCTATGAGACCGATCACCAGGACTACTGTGAGGTGTGCCAGCAGGGAGGAGAAATTATACTGTGTGATACCTGCCCTCGTGCCTACCACATGGTTTGCCTGGATCCAGACATGGAGAAAGCCCCAGAGGGCAAATGGAGCTGCCCACACTGTGTGAGTACTGGATTCCCCCAAACTGTATGAGGGATCATGGAAGGGGACCTCAAGTGACTTGGGGCTGCTCTTCTGGGGTAATAAAATAATCACAAATATATGATTTTTGGTTTTCTGGTTTCCCTTTCCTGTAGGAAAAAGAGGGCATTCAGTGGGAAGCAAAGGAGGATAACTCTGAAGGTGAGGAAATCCTGGAGGATGTTGTGGGGGATGCTGAGGAAGAGGATGACCACCACATGGAGTTCTGTAGAGTCTGCAAGGATGGAGGAGAGCTGCTGTGCTGTGATGCCTGTCCTTCATCCTATCACATCCACTGTCTGAATCCCCCATTGCCAGAGATTCCCAATGGAGAGTGGCTGTGTCCTCGCTGCACTGTGAGTTTCTGCTGGTACCGTTCTCCCGTGGCTACAAGAAATGATTGCTCTAATCCCCTTGGACTGTCATGTTTTCACAGAAGTGCTTAGTCCTCTGAAGACACTATCTCCTCTCATGCTTTTGTTGTAGAGCATGAAGGCCTGGCTTTTGTGGCTGGATTGCACCTTGTCGGTTGGCTGCTTTCTCCAGACAGTGGGATGGACAGGGCGTTACAGCCACTGAGTCTCGCGAGGTTTGCCCATCTGCAGAGTAGCTGGGCAAGTTTTGGGCCCAGGATGCCAAGGCTCAGTTTTCTTGGATCCTGTATGTATGTAGAAGCAGAAGAATGAGTGCAAGCAAATTCAGTGCTTAAAAAATATTTTAAGCTGGTGCTGAGCCAAACGTGGGGTTTTTTTGGTTTTTGTTTTTTGGGGTTTTTTTTGCACTGCAGGCTCTGTAATACCAAACCCTTTCTTAGTAGATGGTTGGGAGAAACAACTTTCCAGGAAGTTCTTGAAATTAAATATTATAAATGGTGTTAGGTGCTTTCATTAGGTGATAAGGACTTTCATGATGAACGTAAAAGCTGCTTCAGGATATATCCTTATGCTGGGCCAATAGTTTTACAGCAAAACACTTCCTGTACAAACTTGCATTGGTGTGTTGGTAGGACAGGCCACTGGGCTTGTCAAGCCTGGCAATTTCTGTATCTCATATACAATTTCTGAATTGGTGTGGCCTTGGGGAGGCAACTAAATTGAGATACTGAATTCAGTTTTGGAGTTGTCAGTCCTAGGGAAAAAAAAAAAAAGACAAACTGAAGAAAGCTGAGAGAAATGCTGGAGATAAGATGAAAGCTTCCAAGCCCAAAAAGCAAATTCCATCTGCATAGTAGAGCTATAACAAAGGAAGAGAAATGTGACTCTGTGTTTCTGTGCCTCAGCACTTGTGTGTTATATGTACACTCTGATGTAACAAGCTCTGTTTAACTCTTCAGTGCCCAGCTTTGAAAGGAAAGGTGCAGAAGATCTTGATCTGGAAGTGGGGTCAGCCCCCAGTTGGCCCTCCACCTCCACGTCCACCTGATGCAGACCCTAATGCTCCTCCCCCGAAGCCTCTGGAGGGTCGGCCTGAGAGGCAGTTCTTTGTCAAATGGCAGGGCATGTCCTACTGGCACTGCTCCTGGGTGTCCGAGTTGCAGGTGAGTGGAGGACTCCAATTGTGCTGTAAGGATGGAGAGTTGGGGGGGAAGGTATTTTGGATAGTTGGGGGGGAAACACTTACTAACTGTTTCTGTCCTGACTCCAGCTGGAGCTGCACTGCCAGGTCATGTTTCGAAATTACCAACGCAAAAATGATATGGATGAGCCACCCTCAGGGGACTTTGGAGGGGAGGAGGAGAAAAGCCGAAAGAGAAAGAACAAGGACCCCAAATATGCTGAGATGGAGGAGCGCTTCTATCGATACGGGATCAAACCTGAGTGGATGATGATCCACAGGATCCTTAATCATAGGTAGGGGAGGTAGAGAAGAGGATTTTCAACAAAGACCTTAAGAAGGGCCAAGGGAGAGTGGATGAGCTAAACTGCAGTGTGACTGGGGGAAGCAGTGGGAGTTCTTTTGTTGGTATGACAAACATTGTTCTTCTTTCTGTTGCTTCATTAAGGGTTCCTTTCCTTCTCTCTCATTTGAGTGGATTGAGTGAATACTGTCATTTCACTGTGCTTACTGGTTTCTTCTGCAGTGTGGATAAGAAGGGGAATGTCCACTATTTGATTAAATGGCGAGACCTACCCTATGACCAGGCATCCTGGGAAAGTGAAGATGTGGATATCCAAGATTATGACCTCTACAAGCAAGCCTACTGGAATCACAGGTAAGAAGAGTACCGAGAAGTTGCGTTCCTTTCCCTTCCCTCAAGAGAAAATACTGGAGTGTCAGCCCCTAGCACTGGCTCGATTTGTATATGGAGACAGCCAAGAAGCATCTTGTTGCTGATTCCTTCTTCCTTCGGGTAGGGACCTTGTGCCCTCTCCACCAGTTCAGTTCATGAAGGTTCCAGTCCTGTTCTCTTGAGCCTGTTTGAGTTGGCTGATCACCCTGCTATTCTTTGCAATAGTTTTCCCTTGATCTATTACAAAAAACATTAAACTTGCACATTCTTGGGGCTGTCTCTGCACAGGGAGCTGATGAGAGGTGAAGAGGGCAGGCCTGGTAAGAAGTTAAAGAAAGTGAAGATGCGGAAACTGGAAAGGCCCCCTGAGACTCCCACGGTAGATGTAAGTTATTGTTTATTGCTTAGGAGCCATCTGATATAGCTGCTTATTTGGGGGTGGGAGGCAAGCAAATAAGAAACTGAATAAGAGTGAAGAGCACATGGTTTAGAGTTCTTTCCTGGCTCAAAAAATGAAGGGGTTATAGAGCCTTCAGTCAAAATATCACCTTGTCTGTTGGGTGAGAGACTGGCTGGCTCTTGGTAAAAGGTTTGTTTATTGTTTTGTTTTGTGTGTTTTTTTTTTTTTGTTGTTGTTGTTGTGTTTTTTTTTAAAAACTAAACCCAAACAACAAACTCTTTTTGGTGCGTACATTTTGACTCTTTGGGAATTTCTGCCTGGTATTAGCCTGGTTATCATCTGAAGTCTCGTCTGCACTAGGGAATGTATGGGTTAATGGGAGGAGTGTCTTAGTTAGCTGTCTAGTTCAGGTAAAGGAGGATCTTGATTCTTTCTCCTTTCCACTGTAGCCAACAGTGAAATATGACCGGCAACCAGAGTACCTCGATGTAACAGGGGGGACCTTGCATCCCTACCAACTGGAAGGACTGAACTGGCTGCGCTTCTCTTGGGCCCAGGGCACAGATACAATCTTGGCTGATGAAATGGGTCTGGGAAAGACTGTGCAGACAGCTGTGTTCCTATATTCCTTATACAAAGAGGTGAGAGCTGGGAGATCACTACCCAGGGAGATTCTGCCTGTGTCAGTACTTGCACTCATCTCATGCTCTTACTGACTCTATTCCTAGGGCCACTCAAAGGGTCCCTTCTTGGTGAGTGCCCCGCTGTCCACAATCATCAACTGGGAACGAGAATTTGAGATGTGGGCCCCAGATATGTATGTAGTGACCTACGTTGGGGACAAAGACAGCCGGGCCATCATCCGTGAGAATGAGTTCACTTTTGAGGATAATGCCATACGTGGAGGCAAAAAAGCATCCAGAATGAAGGTACAGAACTGCTGTAATGCAAGCCTGAACTGAAGGAAGCTTTCAGCAGCTGGGATTCAGATACTCTGGTGTCCCTGGGAACTGATTGTACTGGTAGTTTCCAGGGGGAAATAACTGCAAATTGATGACTAGTGGGCATTTAAACTCTTGCTCTAGACTGTTTAAACACTCCTACCAGTCTGAACTAATTCAGTACTGGAAAGAGTTGACTAAGATAATACTGACTGTATGCAATCTGTGAAGTTTTGCATCATTTCTGCAGATCTAAATCAGTGTCAGAATTGCCATTGTATGAAAAAGACAAACATACAGAAATGTATGAACTTTTTAATCTCTCTGAGGAACTGTCTAACAGTGAGGCCATACCTAGACATCTGAGAAACTGTATTCTGTACCCAAGGCAGGAAGGAAGAGCCTGATCTAGGTGGCTGGTTTTTGTAGAACTTTAGTCTTCATAGTAAAAGCAAGGTGGGAGCTAAAGCTTTCCAATGGCAGAGATAGATGGGACTCCTTTGCTTCCATTGAAATTGAACTGCATTAAGTACTAACAGTAATTTAAAGTTCCAAGATAAAGTGGAATACTTTATCTTACTTATATTTTGTAAGTCTTGGCTTTTTGTTGAGACACTCTTCGCCAGATCTCATTTTGCCTGTATTTGCTGCTTATTTGTTAAACTTCTCTGTTACAACATCTGGCAGCTGTCCAGAAGTAGCAGGTACTGAGGGGGTTTGAGAGACTTTTATGTGTTAAACAAGTAATGGGGGATTAAAAGGCTGGAATGGTTTGGGTAGCATTTTGAATCTTGTGACAGGAAGCTGTGGGTGGGAAGAGTTTTTGATGTGCTGTTTGACCAGGGCTCATCTGAATAACTTGATGGAGAAACACTGCATCTGCTTTGTCCTGAGGCATTCTCTTACCCTGTTACCATGTTCATCCTTTTCCTTTGCAGAAGGAGGCTGCTGTGAAGTTCCACGTGCTCCTCACTTCCTATGAACTGATCACAATTGATATGGCCATACTAGGCTCTATTGACTGGGCCTGCCTCATTGTGGATGAAGCTCACAGGCTGAAAAACAATCAGTCGAAGGTACAGAGAAGCATAGGTGGCTTATAAGGTTTAGAGGCACGTGCTGCAGAGGGGGATGGGCAGGGAGTGTTCAGAAGATTAGATGGTTAGACAGCTGCTCCTAAGCACATAAGTTTGTCTGCCAACTTAAACATTTGTTCAATTTGATGCATTATTAAAAAACAAACAAACAAAAAAATCCCAAACTATAGCCTTCATTTGGAAATCCACTCTCATTGGCAACAACCTCACTTTTTTACATATTGCTGGTTAAAACAGCTTTCTGTCTGGGTGAATAGGCAATTGATGTACACTGGAAAACAGAAAAACCTGGGTGTTGTCGTTGCTCTCCAGTACAAACTGGCTTCTCTGAAAGCAGAATCATATCTGCACCACCTCTGTTCTGGAAGTTTACCATACTGAGCGTAAAACAAGCTGCTTTAGCAAAATTAGATTGCTCTCTGCATTCATCTAGCTTTGTAGCAGAACTAATTAGATGTTATAGAAATGGGAGAGGTGGTTAGAGGTGTTAAAAAATGCCTAGGTAAATGCTGAAAGCTGTATAGCTGCTTTTATATGAGGCTGCATCTTGACTAAGCTTGTTTAAATTCAGTAGACTTGACTGTGCTGTCTTAATCCAGCCCCTTCCTAAACTCTTGTGCCTTAGTTCTGGTATTGATTTGTCTGTCTTCAGCTGGGTTCTAGTGCTCAGTGCACTAGGAGCAATTGTTCTTGGAAATCTGGTTTTATAGGTTCATGGAGACTAAAACAAAACTGCTTCCTGATTTCTCTTTTTGTTTGTTTAAACAGCTTTAGCTTTTTGGATCTTGGTGTGAGGCATCTTTGAGACATCACACCTGTGTTTGCAGTCCACTTTCCAGATCTCTCTTTACTATAGGCACTAAGACTGGATACCATTCTATGCATAGCATTGAAACTATTGGCAGTAATAATGAATGCTTACTATTAATATTCATTAATTGAAAGAGGATGTAAAGGCTCAAGGTTACACTGTGACAAATAGTTTCAATTGGTTATCCACCAAGGCCATTAAATCTGCCTTTTTCTAGAGCAGTTTCCTATCACATAAAGACAGTTTCAGGTGTTTGACTACAAGATGGGTCAGGTTTTCCTTGACAGGTTGTTATCTACCAAAGTTTTACCCATATAACCAGTAACTTCCATATTTGATTCCAAAATGATAATATTTTTGACTATAACTATGTAGAATGATAAATCCCTGTGGAAGCCACTAGAAGAATACTTTGTGGTATAATAACTGGAAAATAAGTGGTGGTAGGTTTCTTTTTTTTGTTGTCGTTTGTTTCTTATCTAGTACAAGCTACTTTCCTTGAGTTTGACCTTGTATTGTGCTAAGTGTAAAATAAGCAAAGAAAGGGCTAAGCTCAGACATAAATTACTGCTTTATTGTCAATTTTTGCTAGTGAACATGGTACACTTGTGCTTTTCAGTTCAGTACTTAAACTGCTCACTACCTCTGTCTGGAATGACTTCATTGTTGTGAAAACCAGCACAAATTACCTTAAAGACACATTGGCAATCCCTTAGCTCTTTTTCTCCTCTGCTTGTTCAGAGCTCTGGAACATTGCCAGGATTGATATGAATAGGAAGAGTGACTTGGCTGTTTCTAGAATTCTCAAGGCAGAGTAGTTGTAAGAATGTGGAACGCTAATTTAGCAAGAAAAAGTACATAGTATAGCAGTCTGGAAACGATTGGTGGTCTGAGAGAGCTTGTAACTTAGAAGAGCAAAGGAAACCTACCAGCACCTGATGGCTTGTAGGATTTGCTGCAGTCATGTTTTAGCTATGCAGAGCAATGATCCAAATGAGATCAGTCTAGTGACCCTGACTGGAATGTGAACTACTTGGAGCTCTTGTCCAAACAGCTGATGTGATCTAAATTGAACCCTAGGTTGGTGTCAACTTTGGTTCTTTTTCTAGGAGAAAGTTTTGTAGGCCTGTGACTTAATAAGCCTTTGACATGTTTGTGTCTTTTAGGTGGTTTGTTTTTTGTTTTTGTTTTTCTCCCCCTTGCAACTTCTTCCTTGCTCTCTACTTCTCAGTTCTTCCGTGTGCTGAACGGTTACTCCCTCCAGCACAAGCTGCTGCTTACAGGAACTCCCCTGCAGAACAACCTGGAAGAACTGTTCCACCTGCTGAACTTCCTGACGCCAGAGAGATTCCAGTATGTCTTGCAGTGCAAGTCAGCCTGCCTGTCTTGTCACTCCTATCCCCTTCCTTGGTTTTTTTGCTCTTTTTCCTTTGTGGCCTTTGCTGAGTGTCTGTTTCTCTGCAGTAACTTGGAGGGCTTCCTAGAAGAGTTTGCAGATATTGCCAAGGAAGATCAGATCAAGAAGCTCCATGACATGCTGGGCCCACACATGCTGAGGCGTCTCAAAGCTGATGTTTTCAAGAACATGCCATCTAAGACTGAACTCATTGTCAGAGTGGAGTTGAGCCCCATGCAGAAGTGAGTGTGAGGATGAAAAGAGCACCTGCTGTTGAACTGCTGTTGCTCTGTTGTGCTGTTTCAAAGAGGATGCTGAAACAGCCTCATCTTCACTATAGGGCTTTCCACACAGTGGAAAGAAGGACTATTTCCTGCTGCCACTATAGCAGAGGGAGGACTAATCCTGTGCTTTCATGTCAGGGTTAAAGAGATAGTAAATGCCACTGGCAGAGTGTAGGTAGCTGGCAGGTAATGCCAGGAGCTGTGTGGAGTTTAGCAAGAGAGTATGTTAGTCATTCTCATGAGGGGTGTCTGAGTTGTATTTTTCTTTTTTTTTCTTTTTTTTTTCTTTTTTTCAGAAAATATTATAAATATATTTTGACAAGAAACTTTGAAGCACTGAATGCACGGGGTGGTGGTAACCAAGTCTCCTTGCTCAATGTTGTTATGGATCTGAAGAAGTGCTGTAACCACCCCTACCTCTTTCCTGTGGCTGCTATGGTATGTCCAGTCCCTTATTCTGTATAAGCAAATTCCGTGCTGGCTGTTATCAGAGAGCCAGTTAGCTCCCTAGCAAAGCGTGGAGGGGTTCCTCTTCCTCTCTTTCTGCTTCTGTGGGTTTTTTACTGTTTTTTATGAAGACCAAACATTCTTGAAGGCCTTTCCTTTTCCAGTATCTTTGTATGACAGGTAGGAGCTATCTTGTGATTAATGCAAGATGAAGACTGTAAGAGTAGGGATTAAGTCAGTAAGAAAGAGGAGGGCATCTGGGAGTGAAATTGCAGGAGCCAAGGCATAGGGTGGGTAGCACTGGTGTTCCATATAAGTAGTGCTACACATTGTGGTTGTGCCAAGCTAAATGACCAGATACGAGTCAGCATGTGATGAACACGGCTAGGGACTAAGACCAACCTTTTCTTCCTCTACCCTGCCCCTGACTCCCTTTCTTTTCTCTTTCTTTTCTCAGGAAGCTCCAAAAATGCCAAATGGCATGTATGACGGTAGTGCACTTATTCGAGCCTCTGGAAAGCTGTTGCTGCTCCAGAAGATGTTAAAGAACCTTAAGGAAGGAGGTCACAGAGTGCTCATATTCTCTCAGGTATATGGGGAAAAACCCTAAGGCTGGGAATAATTTTTCTGAAAAAGGAGCCTGTTGATCTGATACCCCCTTGTCCCTGATTCTTGTGGTGCTGGTTTTCTGATACACAGATGACTAAAATGTTGGACCTTCTAGAGGACTTCTTGGAACATGAAGGGTACAAATATGAGCGGATTGATGGAGGAATAACAGGGAACATGCGTCAGGAGGCTATTGATCGCTTCAATGGTACAGAGTCTCCTCCTTGCTTTGCAAAGTGAAAACTGTTGCCCTGTATGCAGTTAGTGGTCAACACGGGATTGTTGTGGCCCAAGTCTTCCATGCTCTCCTGGAATCTTAAATTAGTAGTAATTTCCCCCTTGGGTGATGTGGGTCAGATACAAATCCTTGTTTGAGTAATGTACTCTCCCTTGATTACTTTTGTTTTTTCCTTTTATCTCAGCTCCTGGTGCTCAGCAGTTCTGCTTTCTGCTTTCAACTCGAGCTGGAGGTCTGGGTATTAACTTGGCCACAGCAGATACTGTGATTATCTATGATTCAGACTGGAACCCCCACAATGATATCCAGGTGAGTCTGAATGAGATCACTCACTATGAAATAATCCTGAGGAAGAGGGGAAATGAAACCATTTGGAGGAGTGGAGGAATGTGAGACTTCCCCTCTAGAAATATCCAAAATCAGAGCAGAGAGGATGGGTAGAGATGGGAAATGAAATAGCGGAGGGTTCTTCCCAGGTCCAGCCTTCACTAATGTTAAGAGCCAACATGGAGACAACTGGGAAACTTAGGGAGGAAGGTGGGATGTATCAGACTACTACTCGTGTAGTTCTAGACTCTTCTGAGCACATCTCTTTTCTAGGCCTTCAGTCGTGCACACAGAATTGGACAGAACAAGAAAGTGATGATATACCGCTTTGTGACAAGGGCCTCAGTGGAGGAGCGTATCACTCAGGTGGCCAAGAAGAAAATGATGCTAACTCATCTGGTAGTGAGACCAGGGTTGGGCTCCAAGACAGGCTCCATGTCCAAACAGGAACTTGATGACATTCTCAAATTTGGCACTGAAGAGCTCTTCAAGGATGAGGCTACTGAGGGGGGTGAGTGCCTGGGAGTAGAACTGAAGGAGGTGGGGAGGTCTGGCTCCTGGTTCAGTGAGTGACTGTAGGCACAGTGCTGATCGTAGCTCTACAGAGAGGTCTAGGGTGCATTCTCTGTCCTAGTCCCTTGAGATCCACACAGCAACTGTGCCTGTGCTCTTCCCTCAGGGGATAACAAAGAAGGTGAGGACAGCAGTGTTATCCACTATGATGACAAAGCAATTGAGCGTCTGTTGGATCGGAACCAGGATGAAACAGAAGATACAGAACTTCAGGGCATGAATGAGTATCTCAGCTCCTTCAAGGTGGCCCAGTACGTGGTTCGTGAAGAGGAGATGGGGGTGAGTATGAGGTGAATGTCAGCTAGTATCTTCTGCTGAATGATGGAGGATCAATTAGGCAAATTGAGCTCCGGTGCTTTTAAGGGCAAGCAGGCACATACCTGCTCAGACAGGTTGGGATTTGGAGCATAGGGCTATAAATTTGTTACCTCTCTGGGGCAGGAGGAAGAGGAGGTTGAACGGGAGATCATCAAGCAGGAGGAATCAGTGGATCCTGATTACTGGGAGAAACTGCTGCGTCACCATTATGAACAGCAACAGGAGGATCTGGCCAGGAATCTGGGCAAGGGCAAACGCATTCGCAAGCAAGTTAACTACAATGATGGCTCACAGGAGGATAGAGGTACAAATCCACAGGAACCTGAGGGAGAAATGGGTGTAAGCATACGTTGCTGGGAAGTAACGGAGTAGCGTCTCAGGCTCACGTGCTGTTTTTCTTTCAGACTGGCAGGATGACCAGTCAGATAATCAGTCAGACTATTCAGTTGCTTCTGAAGAAGGAGATGAGGACTTTGATGAGAGGTCTGAAGGTAAGTTCTGGTGAAGCCAGAGTTCCTGGATCACTTTCTCTTGAGTGTGTAAACAGCTGGGACTTGATTTGGGTGATTATACACTTTGTGGTGCTGCTCTGTGAGGGAAATATTCACACAACAATATGCTGTGCGTTGTCTCTCCTCCTTAGCTGCCTTTCTCTCTTCAGCAGCTCGTCGGCCTAGCCGCAAAGGCCTGAGAAACGATAAGGATAAGCCACTGCCTCCCTTACTTGCCCGTGTGGGAGGGAACATTGAGGTAAGTAGGACCAGGGTAGATGTTTATCCCAGCTGTTTCTGTATGGCTCTTGCCATATCTGTCTGTCTTTTCTCCATTTTAGGTCTTGGGTTTCAATGCCCGCCAGAGGAAAGCCTTTCTCAACGCTATCATGCGCTATGGAATGCCACCTCAGGATGCCTTCACCACTCAGTGGCTTGTTCGAGACCTCCGTGGCAAGTCAGAGAAAGAGTTCAAGTGAGTCTGCATTAGGCAGGGCTGGAAGACTGGCAACACCTAGTCCCTTTGAGGAAGAATGAGAATTGGGCCTTTTCTGGCCTTTCCTTAGTGACTACATTTCATTTCTGTAATGTATTTGTTGATTCTTTGTTGGGGAATGAAGTGTCAGCTGGGGGAGACTAGGGAGGCTGTCCCTAGTTCTCTTCCTTGGACTTGACTCATCAGTCACCAAAAGCAAATGGCTTTAGAGGAGTAGCACGGCCATGCAAACATGTAATGAATACTTTCCCTGAGTCCTTTTTGGGCTTATGGTTGTTTCTGGCTCAAGAGACTGAGTCAGCTGTGTGTGTAGTAATTCTGTGGGGAAATTCTCCCTTAAAGGAGCCTGAAACCCCAGAACTTGTGTTACTATGGGTTAGGAGTCTTGGGTTGATTTCCCTTATGTGTCAGAAGGGATCTGGTAACACATGTCTCCAGCTAACCTAGTTTATAGTCTAATTACTTGTCTCTTAACTGCTCCAGGGCCTATGTCTCACTGTTCATGCGCCATTTGTGTGAACCTGGAGCTGATGGTGCAGAGACCTTTGCAGATGGGGTCCCACGGGAAGGTCTTTCTCGACAGCATGTCCTTACTCGCATTGGGGTCATGTCACTTATACGCAAAAAGGTAGGTGCCAGCAGAGGAGTGTAGCTTCTGCTCTCCATACAGCTTGTAGTAACTGGAGTCCTAAGCTAGCGAGTTGCCTCTCCTTTCACACGTATTTTTTGTTGTGTGCCGAGTGGTCCATCTCTTCTGGTTTGAGGACAAGCGTTGTACGACTCTTCCAATGAATATGTCTTTCCCTCTCATGCAGGTACAGGAATTTGAGCATGTGAATGGCCGTTGGAGTATGCCAGAACTGGCAGAGATAGAAGAGAACAAGAAACTTTCACAGCCAAGCTCACCCTCTCCCAAAACTCCAACTCCTTCAACGCCAGGGGATACGCAGCCAAATACACCTGCCCCTGTTCCTCCACCTGGTGAGAGCTCCCCTCCTCATCTTAAAATCACAGACTGGTTTGGGTTGGAAGGGACCTTAAAGATCACCTCGTTCCAACCCCCCTGCCATCAGCAGGGACACCTTCACTAGCCCAGGTTGCTCAAAGCCTCTTCCAACCTGGCCTTGAACACTTCCAGGGAGGGGGCAGCCACAGCTTCTCTGGGCAACCTGGGCCAGTGTCTCACCACCCTCACAGGAAACAATTTCTTCTAACATCTCATCTAAATCTCCCCTCTGCCAATTTAAAGCTGTTACCCCTCATCGTGTCACTTGTTAAAAGTTCCTCCCCAGCCTTCCTGTAGCCCCTTCAGGTACTGGAAGGCTGCTAGAAGGTCTCCCTGGAGCCTTCTCTTCTCCAGGCTGAACAGCCCCAACTCTCTCACCCTGTCCTCACAGGAGAGGTGCTCCAGCCCTCTGATCATCTATATGTTGGGGGCCCCAGAACTGAACACAGTACTGCAGGTGGGGTCTCAGGAGAGTGGAATAGAGGGGGAGAAGCCCCTCCCTTGACCTGCTGGCCATGTTTTCCTGGATGCAGTCCAGGATATGGTTGGCCTTCTGGGCTGCAAGCATTCTTGCACAGTCCTGTGTCCTGACCTCATCCTGGCTGTTCCCCTCACCAGAGCTGTGGTGGTGGGGTCTGGGGGTGGACACAGATCAACTTACCTCTCGTGTTAGGAGGGCTGCCCAAGACATATGCGAGCCCTTAAAGGCAAGAGAGGACACTAGCTTTTCTTGGTTGAGCTGACATCAGTGAGAAGAGAAGCCCAGCATTTGTAGTGGACAGGAAAGGGGAGGGGCGGAGGTCATCTTGAGTGACGTTGGTCCCATTTTGATGGGCCTAATCTCTGGGAGCAAAGGAGATGTGTGCTTCATAACAGTGAGGGGAAGACCTTACTGATGCCTTCTTTTCTTCTTTTGTCTGCTGTGCTGCTCTGGGGTGTGGAATATACAGAAGAAGGAATAAAAGTAGAAGAAGGAGCCAATGCTAAAGAGCAAGGAGAGTCATCTGAACCAGAGAAAGAGCTCAGTGCCTCTGCTACTGAAACAGAGGTCCCTATGGAGGTGAGTGTTGGGTTGCTTGTTTGCCTTATGCAATTGCAAATGTCTCTACGCTGCCCCCTCTTCTGTGTCATTCAGCTGCTGAGACACAGGTGAGTTCTTGGAATGATATTTAAAGGTAATTCTCAGGTCCTCAGAATTGGCCTGGCAGCTTTGTGCATATTTGCTTTCCAAACTGCTGTGACTGTCTTCTGTTTCCGTGCAGTGCTTTACCTGCTTTTCATTGATTTCTGTCCTCAGCAGTGTGCCCAGCCCGTGGAGACACCGCCACAGGAAGCAAAATCCCCAGTGAACCCCACAGAAGCAGATGAAAAAAAAGTAGAGGAACCAGAGGTGAAGGAAAGACCAGATGAGCCAATGGAAGTGGAAAGCAAAGGTATCTCTAGGGAGGTTGTTTAATCTCTCAAACAGCAATAGAACCTCCCTCCCCCTCAAATACTATTCTCCTAAAGCTGCATCTTCTTTGCTCCAGCACTTCATCCTAACGAAACAGGCATTCGTGTAGGCAATCAGAGGGTCTGTTCCAGGACTCTGAACAGGGAGTTAGGGAACAGTATTAGGTTTCACAGGCTGAAGAACAAAACCTTGTACATCTCATGTTCCCCTTCTCTCTTGCAGCTGATGTGGAGAAAGTGGAAGACAGAGCACCTATTGAGAATCCCCCTGAACCTCCCATAATCACCCTGGATGAGAAAGGTGAGTCATGATAATTCCATTCTCTTCCTTAACCTCTCTCCTGCCAGCATTCCTTGTGGGTCTAACTTTCTGTGGTATCTGCTGTGCTCTCTCTAATAACTCCCTGTGTGTACAGATGAGAAAAAGGATGATGATAAGAGAGATGTGGTGATGCTGCAGAATGGAGAGATGCTGAAGGAGTCGGTAGATGAAAGGCACAAGAAGGCAGTAAAGCAGCGCTTCATGTTCAACATAGCAGATGGTGGCTTCACTGGTAAGAGAAGTTGTTATATGCTTGAACCTGTTTCTATGCCCCTGCTTGTGTTTGCGAAATAACTTTCAACTGTTTTGGTGTCTTGCCTTTCCAGAACTACACTCCCTGTGGCAGAATGAAGAGCGGGCTGCAACTGTCACAAAGAAGACCTATGAGATCTGGCATCGGCGTCACGACTACTGGCTCCTTGCTGGGATTATCAAGTATCCTTACCCTGACAGACCATTTTTCTCCCCTTGTAGATGAACTGTCATGGTGAAGGTGACTATTCTGGGTCTGACTGGAGCAAATTCAGTGAGAGAGTGCTTTTATCCTCTTTCACAAGAGGGAAAGTGATGGTGGGAGGAGGAGTTTCCGGCCAGGGTAGCTAAGACTTAGCAGGACATAGTTCTCATGCCTTTTCCTTGGCTCCTGTTCCTCCCCTTTCTGCATCCCCTCTCCCCACCCCCTCTTGAGAGCTGTATCTGCCTGGGCTATGTGTTCCCTTGTTCTCACTGCCTTTGTTTGCCTGAGCTCATCCCATCTCAGTCATGGCTACGCCCGTTGGCAGGATATTCAGAATGATCCACGTTACGCCATCCTCAATGAACCCTTCAAGGGTGAGATGAACAGGGGAAACTTCCTGGAAATAAAGAATAAATTCTTGGCGAGGAGATTTAAGGTAAGGATTTATCTTCAGTGTGATAAGTGCCTTACAGCCAGGTGGACCTCTAAGAACAAGAGCTTGCTGTTCTGAGTTTCTGCTAAGAGAGTGAAGGCCTCTGCAGTGTCTTTCATTTTAAGAGAGGAGAAAAATAAACAGTATCTCTCAGGATCATGCAGTAGATCCGTGATAGAAGCTACTTTAGAAGTGGTACTGGGAGCTTGGTTCAGTGCTCTCTCTGCAAATGGTTTTGAACAACTGGTGTGCAGGAAAGCTTAAGGTTCAAGTGGCTGTTTCCATCACAGCTGCTGCTTGGTGTGCTACAACCCACTCAGTGTGCCTAAGCAGAACTTGCAAACACTGCATGGACTGGTGAAAGGGCTGCCTTCAGTCTCTGCCTCAACGTGTCTGGGAGTGACCATAACTTAGTTCTGGGAGTGATTCAAGATCAACCCAAAATAAAGACAACATAGGTCTCAGTCTTGGGGCAAATGATTAATTCAGTGTAGTCTGGCAGTTGGGCACTAACATGATTCAGACAGATTTCTCCAAATGTTCCTGCTGTGCTGCTTAATAGGTTTTGGGTTTTTTTGACTCTTCCTATAAGTAGCATGGGATACTTATCCCTTGGGTTCAAAGAGAAAGCTGCATCCCCTTTGCTGCATACAGAGAGTAAAATAGCAAATGACTTGGTCTTCAAAAAGAATCTGAGGAGGCCTGAGATTCCTAGAGGATTTTATTGGTAGTCTGCTCTTAAACTAGATGTAGCCTGGTTTTTCTGTGTACCTGGCTTAGCTTAATGGAGCCCTTAATTGTTTTGGGCTCTTTAGGCTTTACTCAGTATAAACAGAAGCTGGTGAAAGGAGGTTCAGCTGCAAAATTTCACTCATGAGATGGTGGAGAACTGGATTAGGAGAGACTGGAGAAACTGAAAGCCTCTCTCATTGCTGCCCCATCTTGCAGCTCCTGGAGCAGGCGCTGGTGATCGAGGAGCAGTTGCGGCGAGCTGCCTATCTGAACATGTCAGAGGACCCATCTCATCCATCGATGGCTCTGAACACGCGCTTTGCAGAGGTGGAATGCCTGGCTGAGAGCCACCAGCACCTATCCAAGGAGTCAATGGCTGGGAATAAACCAGCCAATGCTGTGCTGCACAAAGGTAATGCAGTGTGTTAAACAAGGGGGGGAGGGGGAGGGTGGGTAGGTGGTTCAGCATCACTGTCCCTTCTGCTCTCTTCCCTGTGGGGCATCCCTTTCCCCTCTGAACAGATGTCCCTTTCTCTTCTAGTTCTGAAGCAGTTGGAGGAGCTTTTGAGTGACATGAAGGCAGATGTGACTCGTTTGCCTGCCACCATTGCCCGGATCCCCCCTGTGGCAGTACGCCTCCAGATGTCGGAGCGCAACATCCTAAGCCGGCTGGCCAACCGCAGCAGTGAGCCCCCTCCACCGCCACCTCCCCAACAAGTACGTACCCTCTCTGGACAGTAAGCAGAGTCACCTCAGGGAGAGTGAGGCTTCTGTGGGGAAAGCCAGGGGCCATTGCTGCCCAGCCACTGGGTCTCAGATCATCTTCTCTTGCCTCACAGGTGGCCCAGCAGCAGTGAGTCCCTGGCCCAATGCTGTTGACCTTTTGGCCAAGCTGAAGTGACCCCCCCTCCCCACCCCACCCCTTCACGCTCTACCCCTCTGCCTGACATTCCTGACTGGGTGCTGTTTCCCTCCATGGAAGCTGTGGTGCAGGTCTCTGGGAGGAGAAGGAACTCCTTCCTCTGCCGCCAGCCCGTTGGAGCAAGGAGTGTGCTTAGGAAAGAGGGGGATGTATGATGGACTCTGTACATAGTGACTGGAGGCCACAGCGCCATGTCTGTTACACGGAGAACCTGGCTGCATTGCTTGCTGCCTCCGCCTGGAATTCCAGTTTTTGTTTTTAATTTTATTTTGAGTTTGTTTACTGAGATGAGTGCGCAGGCAAGACCAAGCAAAAGCCAGGACAGAGACAAAGCTACCTCCATCAAGATCCTTTTTAATAGAAAAAACTGACTGGACTTGTCTACTAATAAGCAGCTTGAAGACAAAAACAAAAAAAAAAAAACAGAACAAAACCTTGGTAAAACTGAAAAATAAAGTTTCCTTGTATTTTATGTTGTTGCCTCTATTTAGCAGGAGACGGGTGGGAGTAATTACTTTGTCTTCCCCTGCTGTGACCAATTCCTTCTCCCTCAGTTAGAGGTCTTTTCCAACCTTAATGATTCTATGATTCTAACATCATCAAGTCCAACACCACCCTCCCCCTTAAACCATGTCCTTAAGTGCTGTGTCTACACGATTTTTGCACACCTCCAGGGATGGTGACTCCACCACTCCCCTGGGCAGCCTGTTCCAATGCTTGACAGAATAAATTCTTCCTAATCGCCAATCTCAACCTTTCCTGGTGCAACTTGAGGGTGTTTCTTCTCTCACTTCTTACGTGGGAGGAGAGACCAAGCATCTCCCTGTCCTTGCAGTGAGGGGCCCAAAACCGGACACAGGACTCGGGTGCGGCCTCACCGGCGCCCAGGAGGTGCCGTTTTCCTGGGTAACAGCAGGTTTGGGGACACCCTGCGCCTCTCAAGTTCTCCTCCCTCTCTCCTTGCCCACGTGCCGGCCCTTTCTCTGC